CAATGTTGTATGTCTGATACTCAGCTACGAGTGACTTAGTAAAATGGTGCTTCCATAAAAAATGTAGGAGGAGGGGCTGGAGGGATAGCACAGCGGGTAGGGCGTTTGCCTTGCATGTGGCCAACCCAAGTTCGATTCCCAGCATCCCATATGGTCCCGCGAGCACTGCCAGGAGTAATTCCTGAGTGCATGAGCCAGGAGTAACCCCTGTGCATCGTCGGGTGTGACCCAAAAAGCAAAATTAAAAAAAAATGTAGGGGGAAAAATTGATGTTTTGCTCATTTGTTCTTTTGGTTTTCTTTAATTTATTGATTAAAAATAAAAACCTGTGGGTTTGTGAAAGCTGCAGAGACATCGAGAACGAGAATTGGGGGCTGGGAAGAGTGGGGGACAGTGAACATTCCACCTGCCCCAGGCTCAGGTTTGATCCCCAGCACCGCAATCATGGTCTCCTAAGCATTGCCAAGGCCAGGAGTGGCCCCTGAGCACCACAGAGTGATAGCAGAAAAAGGGCCGAATATAGGACACACATGGACAACACAAACAAAACCAGGCAAAGGTCCTGCGACCCTGGGTACAGCATGAGGCAGGAAAGCTGAGAGGGAGGATAGCACTGAGGGGAAGGAGGGGTCCCAAAACTGAGCCCCAACCCCCCCCATCCTTCCTGCTCTTCCCTCAGGGATCCCACTCAGGCTGTAAGCTTCTGCTTTCACCTCTACTGATAAATCTCAGGCCCAGGTCTCTGTTCTAATCACCTTCCGGATGTTTCTTACCACACACTCAACACTTTGGTAAGCAAACACTTCCTCGGGCTGGCCAGAGTGCCAGTCCACAGGGATAAAGTAGTGAGGCCGACCGGCATTCCCACAGAGAAGCCACCAGAGCAAACATGCGGATATCCCCACAGAGGAGCGGTCAGAACAGACATACGAATATCCCCACAGAGAAGCAGCCAGAGTCGAAGTACAGATATTCCCACAGAGAAGTAGCCAGAATAGACATACGGTTATCTCCACAGAGAAGTGATCAGAGCAGACATCCGGATGTCTCCACAGAGAAGCTGTGGGAGCAGACATACAGATATCCCCACAGAGACGTGATCAGAGCAAATATACAAATGCTTCGTACAATTTCACATAGTAGTACTCTTATAAAAGAAAAATGTAGTAAATAAAGAGAACTCTTTGTAGACAAATACGGGTATGTAATTCTTTATTTTTTCTCAAAGATTTTTTTTTGCCTCCTATAATCTCTTGCTTTCAAATAAATCCTTTCCCCCCATCCTTTATTCTTGATTCCTGTACTTTTTGTTTCTGGGTCACAGCCAGAGTATTCAGAGCTTACTCTGTCCTCAGGGATCACTCCTAGCCCCACTAAGGGGATCATGGAGGGTTCTGGGGAGTTGAACCCAGGCTGGGCAGGCACAAGCAAGTGTCTTACTCACTGTACTATTACTTCAGCCCTTTTGTTTTGGCTTTGGCTTTGCCAAGGTCTATTGACTTCCCTTTCTAAGTTTCTATAAACTGTGTGCCTGCCATATTTTCTAAAATCCCACAGACACAATTCCAACACTCATGTAAGACCTCATGCAGTGTTTTCCTAATTAGTGTCTTACCTCTTAAAGTTCTAAACTGTTTCTCCCCCATCAGATTCCACTTTGTAACGTCCTTTAAAAAAAACTTCTTAAATGTCACTCTCCCAAGTCACTTTCTGCTCAAAAGATCATCAGGTATGCTGCAGCATGATAATGAAGAGGCAAGGATTTGCGATCACGAACTGGTGTTTAAGCCAGACAGTTGGAGATATTTCATGAAGCCATTGATAAACTGTACACTGAGGATGGATCCTATTCCACACCTCCCTCTTATTTGAGCGTGGGTGAAACTAGAGGATGTGTAGGAAGCATTAGTCCATTTTTGCTTGGTGGAATCTCAAGACAGAATGTAGCACTCTTCATTATTCAAGATGCTCTTTTGTTCCCAAGTTTTAACTCTCAAGTATTATTCTGCAATGTCCTACCTTGGAATGGCCTTTTTCTTGTTGATGTCAATAATGAGATGGTTTCTCGGATAACTGCAGTTTTCATCTTGAAACCCTCAAAAAGCCCAGCATGTACTCTGCATCTGAGACAGCACCCACAGAGACACCGTCCGCTCGTTACTGAGGGCAGACAGCAGGGGCAGCGGAAGGGGAGGTCATGCTCAGGCTTTGCTTAAATTTCCCCCAGGTGGCGAAATCTCTGACACTGTCCTCTCGTCCAAACCTCTGACCCAAGAAGTCATAGGCTTATCATTCAGAGGCGCGTCTCTGCTCAGAAGAGGGAGTTTACTGAGGGCCAGCCCCTATGTGGAGAAACCAGACAGCTGGTCTTCAGGAAAGTCATCGGTAATGTGTCTGTAATGAGTGATGGCTCTGGGAGGCAAGTTCAAAGGGATACAGAACCATAACATTTTTTTTTAATTTTTTTTAGGAAAGGAAGAAGATTAGTAGAGGGAGGAGTACCTTGGCAACAATTCCTAATTATGCCTTCCAGTGGAAAGATCATAGACAAAGCAGAACATTCCTCTATACTAGATGACTTTATTATAGGCTTTGTCACCGTCTTGTCCTATGCCGGAAGAGGACAAGTAAAAAGAAGCCATCCCCTCCTGTGCAAGGAGGCGGCTTTCCCTCTGTTTTTATAGACTGCAGGAGATCATGCTGTACTGGCTCTCTTTAATCCACAGTGAGGGCCTTAGTTTTACCAAAGTCTCCAGGTATCCACTGTAAAACTGAACGGGAGGTTCCACCCAATCACAGCCTGTATGTGACTGCTTCTTACCAGTCCTATGTCCTACAGTGTAGAATTTGAGTAGCAACTTTAAGAAGCAGTAAAATTGCAGACAACCAAGAATCAAGAAGGGAGTTCAACAGGAGACCGCACAAGGGTGGGGCCAGAGGCTTTGCATGTGCAGGACTTGGCCTGAGTCCTGACACTGTGGGGTCCCTAGCACTGCAGGGTGTAGTCCTGTGGGCTCTCCTAAGCATCCCAGCACCATCTGTCAAGCCAGAAAACTTCTTTATCCTCAAGAACAGAAAGAGAGAGAGAAAAAGAAAGAGAAAGAAAGAAAGAAAGAAAGAGAAAGAAAGAAAGAAAGGGTGAGAGGGGGGAAAGAAGGGAGGGAGGGAGGGAGGGAAGGAAGGAAGGAAGGAAGGAAGGAAGGAAGGAAGGAAGGAAGGAAGGAAGGGAGGGAAGGAGGGAAGGAGGGGAAGAAAAGTGGAAGAGTAAAGCAAAGACAGAATTTCCTATTACAAATACAGGCAGTCAGCATCTGAAAATGGAGTGTCAATACTGTTCCTTCCTTCCCAGACTGGGCTTTCTCTCCTTGGCATTTACCAGATCTCACTGTGATTGGGTATAATGAATTAACATCTCATATTAGGTTTGAGGAATAGATGATGGTATTGTACATATGATAAGCTTATTTATGGGATCAAAATTTCTTTGTATACAGACAGAAATATAGACACATCATATACACACACTCAAAGAATTTGGAATCAAGTCCTGCCAAGAGCTAAGAGAATTCTGTTCTAAAAAGATTCCCTGCCAGAAACCTGACCCTGCACTGCAGAGGTCACAGTTCCTTGCCCTGCATCAACTAGGTGTCGCCCACATTGCAGAAGGCACAGCAGAGAAGGCAAAGAGGCTCTATTCTTTTCTTTTTTCTTTTCAAGGGGGCTGTCAGTGTTTACTCCGAGGACCTAAGAGCTTTACTCCACATATCATGCAAACCACGGTTTTTAGGAACCCAAGTATTTCCTGGTGTTTTATACCCACCATAATCTCAAACTTCACACCCAGCCTGGTGTGGAGCTAATTGGGCCTGAGATAGATGATTAGAATTTGAATTTAAGGTTGCACTACTGCTACTGATTAAAGCAAGGTCTTTTACTCAGTCACAGCTGTAGGAGAGAACGCAAACATCGTATCAATCCCGGAAGCACAGTGAAGATACCTTCAAGGCTCTGCATTTGTTTCAGCTTTATCAAGCTCTTTTTTGAGATGTTGGTGCGAGTGGAAGTGAGCGTGAACGGCTTTGTTCTGCTCTCACCTCTGCAGCAAATCCCTAATCTAAGAGCCGCGGCCTCAGGAGGAACCCAAAGCCCTGGCGATGAGGCGGCTTTTCCTACTGCACTCGAGCGGGTCCTAGGAGCGCGCAGTGTCCTCCAAAGGCCGGTTTCCCAGGGGCTCGCCAGCCGCTGGCAAGCAGGTTGCGTTCCTGGCGTTGCTCAGTTCCCCACACTGTTGTATCTCTAGCAGATTAGATAATAGTCTATTATTACACGCGAGGCTGTTAAGCAAATACATATGCTTGAGGGAATCACAGTGCACACAATTACGGGGCTAGCCGTGACCGCCACTCTCCACTGGGACTGATTAGATCTTCTTCTGCCTAATACCGCGCAACCCGGTGGCTGGTGCGCGCCGCCTCCGGGCGTCCAGAACCTCCCGACTCCGAGAGCCAATAAGTCACCGCGAAGCCACAGGCCCCCCTGGGCCCAGGACCCGGAGCGAGGAGGGGCGGCTTCGGCGGGGCCGGCCAGCGCCCGGGCAGGGTCTTGCCCGGGCAGCGACTTCCGTGGGGCGCAGTCTCCGAGCCGCGTCTCCCGGAGACGCCGGTCACCCCGGCTCGCCGGAGGGACCCCCGCCCCGCCCGCCGCCCTCCTCGGAGACCGCCGAGGGCCGCGCGCGGTCGGGATGCGCGGCCGCCGCGGGGCGCCCGGGGTGCAAGTTTCCGCGCACGTGGCCGCGTCCCTCCCCGCGGGCTGGGCGGGCGGGCGAGCCGCGCTGGCTGGCGCCTGTCCAGGCCGGCGCACTAATACGGGCGCGAGCTCGCGGCTCCAGCCTGACTGACGCCGGCCGGGGCCGCCGCCGCCGCCGCCGCCGCCGCTGCAGCCGCTGTCTCGGGCCCCGCCGCCGCCGCCGCCGCTGCAGCGTCCCGGTCCCGCCGTCGCGGCACGCGCAGCCAGGCCGTGAGTGCGCCGGGCTGGGGGGCGGCGGGGAGGGACGGGGGCGCGGGGACGGGGGAGAGGCGCCGCGCGCGAGCGTGTGCGGCCAGGGGCCTCCCGGCGAGCCCCGGGTCCTGGGGCCGCAGCGCGCGGCGGGTGGAGGGACGCGGGGGGCAGCGGGGCACCAGCGCCGCGAGCCCGGGGGCGGCCCGGGCGCCCGCCCCACGCCCCACGCCCGGCACCCGGCGAGGCGCCGCGTCTCCCCGGCGGGGCCCGGGCGTGGACGGGAACGCGCGCCCGCCCGCCCCCGGGCATCCTCGGAGGCGCCGCGAGAGGCGGCGGCCGCGGAACGGACCCGGCGAGCGAGGGACCCTGCGCGGAGCGACGGGGCGGGGTGCGGGGCGGCGAGGGGGCTCGGGCCCGCCCGGCTGGCTCGCTCGTCGCTTTTCGTCGGTTTTGCGGAGGCTCCGGGGCTCCCTTACCTCCGAGGCTCCGGAGCAGCACCCCCAGAGCTAGGAATGCCGTTCTAGCGGCCCGGGGGCCGGCACGGGCCGGCGCGGGGGGCCGGGCTGTTTGTCTTTCGCTCCGCCGGCGCCGCGGGGCCCGCGCGCGGCCGGCGGAGGGGGGCGAGGTGGGCGAGGGCCGCGGAGACTCCCTGACGCCGGCTTTGTGGTCGCGGGGACGCGCGGGCCAAGCCCTCGGATGGGCGGCTGGTCGCTGCCGGCCCTTCCTCCTCCTCCTCCTCCTCCCCCTCCCCGGTGGGCCGCTGGAAATGAGTTCAGAGAGGGCTTCGGGGGGACCGTTCCTGGACTAGGACTGGTGGTCCTGAGAAGTGACCTGCCAACGATGAGGTCCAGTTTGGGCACGAAAGCTGCGTGTCCATGATTTCCCCCTTCCTCTCTCTCTCCTCTCCCTCTCTCCCTCCCCCCCCCCCCCCCCAGTAATTCACATTCGGGGACACGCCCACTGGACAGTGCGAGTTGCTTTTCCCCCTGCACCCAGTTTGCCAGGACCATTCATTTCGCTGGCTTGCCAGATTTCCCAGGCGATCTTTCCAAAGCAAGCGTGCTTTTGGTAGGAACGAGAAAGGAAAAGTCGCAGGTCACAAGGCGTCTGATGCTTTCTCCTTAGTCACAAAGGAAGGAGCTGCGGACCGTTGGAGACATCCTCGGGGTGAGCGAAAGCTTGGCTCTCGGGCATCTCTTCCGTCTTGGGATTCCTGTCGGTGTGAAGGAATGCCATTGGGTGTCTACATTTTCAAAAGAGTGGCCTCTATTTAAAAGGAAATAAAAGTAAACCCCAGACACATTCTCCTAACTGCAAGATAGTTCATCAAGCGAGTGTCCCCGTGTTTGCAGGAAGCCGTGATCGAGATTTTGGACCACTTTCAAGTTTGTGGTTATCCAAGAAGGATACTGCAGATAAGACAATGATGTAATCGCTTATAAATAAGGAGCATTTAGAATATAACGGGATAGAATGTTATATCAGAAAAATTACTGTTTTTCGAGAATAATCTTGAACCTGGATGGCAAGTCAACTGTCTTTTGCTGACAGACTTTGGCATCTTAATCTATTCTGATGCACGCAACTCCCATTTTTATGCTTGACTGACTACCTCAGTCAGGGTTGTTTTATGCTTGAGCTCTGTGGTTGCAAACTATGTTTAAGAGAATGCCAGTGTATTCTGGAACTAAGCAGACTCTTTTCTGGCATGACAGTGTTTACTAAGAATCAAAGATATAAAAAGTGTAAGACCTTTGCAATCCTCCTAACTTTGTTATTCAGTCTTTTAAACTTAGCATTTTTCCTTTCTTATAATCATTTGCCATATTTTCTCAGTTAGCAATCAGAAAATATTCACATATATTGGCTGCTTCTCTGATTGCCCAATACATGAGATGAAAAGAAATTTTGTTTGTTTTTGGGCCACACCCGGCTGGCAGTGCTCAGGAATTACTCCTGGTTCTGTGGTTAGAGATCCCTCCTGGAGGGGTTCAGGGGACCATATGGGACTCTGGGGCTCTAACCCACATTGGCTGTGTGCAGGTCAAGCATCCTACCGCCTGGTCTCTGCCCCTGAGGGTTGTTTTTTAAATATTGTTTTGCTTTTAAATGAAGCATTAACATAGTTATCTATAAGCAATAAGCTAGTGGTGAAATTGTTTATCCTTTTTAATCAGATGATCAGTAAGGGAGAAAACTATTACAAAATTGTGTCATGAAGATTAAAATATTTTGTTTTAACTCTGATTAATGACAGTACCATTTCCTTTGCCAAATTGTAGACACAATGCTTAATAAGAGCTCAGTGTAGTACTAGGCCACTAATCAGCTTATATCTGACATTACCTCTATAATAACTAAAGCAGCAGCTTCATCATATTCTGCTTTAATATGTCAGAAATAATAAATTTCATCATTACAGATAGCACTGTAGCACTGTCCTCGTAGCTTGTCGGGCTCTCCGAGAGGAGCGGAGGAATCGAACCCGGATTGGCCACATGCGAGGCCAACGCCTTACCCGCTCTGCTATACCATATCCACTACATGTAACAGCACATTTTTTTTCTTTTTTGGGTTACACCTGGCGATGCACAGGGGTTACTCCTGGCTCATGCACTCAGGAATTACTCCTGGCAGTGCTCAGGGGACCATATGGGATGCTGGGAATCGAACCCGGGTCAACTGCGTGCAAGGCAAACACCCTACCCACTGTGCTATCGCTCCAGCCCCTATAACAGCGCATGTTACAGAAATATTTTGATTTAAGGTAAGGGAAATGTTATGGCAAATAGATTTTTTTTTTAATTTTCCAGGCTTACTAACAGTACATTTTAGGATTCTAATGGAATAGTCCAAAGTAGGAATGAGATAATAAGATGTCGCACGGCCGAAAATGTGGCCGCTCGCTTCGGGGAGCTGGGTTTTATAGTCTCTGAGTCTTGGCCAGCTACTGAATGTAACCTGCCCACACAGCAGAGTCTAGCAAACTCCCCGTGGCGTACCCAATATGCCAAATACCAGTAACAATGATGGGTCTCATTCTCCTAACTCTGAAAGAGCCTCGAATATGGCACTTTTTAAAAAAAATCTCAGGGCTAGGATGAAGAAGACGTTACTGGGGCCTGCTCGAGGCAATCCACGAATAACAGGATGGTCGTGATCGTGATCGTGAATGGAATAGTCAGGTTTTAGGTTTATTATGTCCAACATTTAGAGAGAAATTCAGAAACAGGAAACTATCCAGAATAAAAGAGCAAAATACAGCAGAGTGTTGGAAACATGAATACTTTAAAATTGTTGTAATTCTATGACTGTTGGATTTATATTTCCTTGGTTCCCATTGCTACCGATTTTAAAAATTATTCCAAGGAAAAAAGCAGGGGATAGGGAAAAAAATAATAAAAAACTAAGACAAAGTGCTGGAAAGTCATAAGTAATAACATTCTGCACACTTCGTTGATTTATTACCCCTCTTAACCTAGAAATGGTTAAGCCATGTCTTGAGAATGGCCATGTCATGTGGAAGGACATAACAATAAATAAATAAATAAATAAATAAATATCTCTTAGCACAGCGGGTAGGGAGTTTGCCTTGCACGCAGCTGATCCGGGGTCAATTCCTTTGTCCCTACAGAGAGCCGGGCAGACTACCAAGAGCATCCTGCCCGAGCAGCAGAGCTTGGGGCGTATTCGATATGCCAAAAAGAGTAACAACAAGTCTCACATTGGAGACGTTACTGGTGTCCGCTTGAGCAAATCGATGAACAATGGGAGGACAGTGCTGCAGTGCTATTAGTAATCTCTTAAAGTAAACATTTCTATAAATGATGTCTGAAAGAAGCGAGTGGTGGAGGAAGTTGTTAAGAGTCTGTGGTGTTTGCTTACATCAGAATCCATCTCCACAGAAGCTGGACTTCCCTCTTGCACCTGACACATCCACGCCGGTGTCAGCCTTCAGCTCACCTAAGTCGTTCTGCCAGGCTTTTCTTTCTCCTTCCATATCGTCTGCTGCAATTAAAATGCTAAAAATCAGTTCCTACAGTTATCATGGCTTTTCTTTCTCTGCACCTTTCCTCATGCTAAGTCCTCACTGCCTTCGACTCCTCACCAACATCTCACCAGTTTCTCACATGTACCAAAACTTTCCAATCTTGACACTTCTTTCAGTAAGTTACTCCTGGTCTCATTTATTTCTTCTCAGACACTCTTTTTTGAGATCTCGGAAGGAAGAGGCCATGCCTTATCTAACATTTCGCTCTCTTCATGCCTACCACTTAGTGCTGAATTAATAAATATGAAATAACATATTCCACTCAACCCATGGTCTTCTTTGAAATACATTCTGCAACAAAGTTCCTCCCCCACCCTCTACAGTAGATCTCAGAGATCTATCTTTCAAACTGATTTTGAGCTTGAACTGAGGACCTGTTAAGTTTTAAGGATTGTAGTGAACAAGCTCTGAAACCGGGCTACCCAGCTGAACCTCCTTCTGAATGTTGTGGCTGAGCACTACAGTCAAGAAAACTTATCTATGATGCTCTCATTGCATTAGTAATTTCCTTTATCAGATTCCCTAAATACACACTGGAGACCATTAAGCCAAATAATAACCAAAAAATCCCAAACCCCCCTTCCACCAAACAGATTTTAATGTGATTGAGTTACTGTGATGAAACTCTAGTGTAATTCCACACGCAAATACTGACCGGATAGTTAAGCCCCATCCCCACCAAGAGCCACATAAAACGTGATGCTGGTTGTATTTACTGCGTAAGCTTCCACCTAAGTTCGCAAAGGAAAAAGCTAGCAGCTATTGAGAAGGGCTTCTCTTTTGGTCAGGGTGAATAGATGAAAAGGGTCTTGCTATCAGTCTTGTCAAGAGAGCATATGTGTGTAGATGCCATTGTGGGTTTATTCTGAAATGGCTTAGGGGCGGTTTGGAAGGCATGGGGTTGTGAGTATATTCTGAGTTCGCAGCAAATGTTGCTAACCCATCCCAGGAGCAGCTGGCATCTAGG